TGTTTGTGGAACTCTCTTCCGGCTTCTTGCTTTCCAGTCAACTTCGATCTTCAAAAATTTAAATGCAATGTCAGTCGTTATCTTAATTCATATTCGTTTACTGTTCTCTCTCCTTAATAATGTTTTCCTTTGCTCATATTCTCCCACAATCAATAACACCCTTGTTTCTTACTGGCTTTATTGCCTTGCTTGAAATGATTAAAAAATACTTAATATGAATCATTCATAAAAATTCAGAATGTGGAATAAATAAACAATTCTTCGTTTATTTGCCGTGTCCCTTTCAGGACGTGGTCAATCATGACTCTCCACAATTTCCTTGTCCTTTGTAATTCTTAAAAAGATTGTCTGTGCACCCCCCAGAACCCTGTCTGCCTTCCATCAGCATGGCTGATGCTAACCTCCAGGAGCGTGACCTGTTGCACCTCCCGGGCTAATGTTCTCTACCGACACGAAAGTGAAAAGATTATATCGAATCAATTGCTAGGTTAGCTGCTAAGAAAGTTGTTTCACTGTGTCATGCAAGACAATTTTTCTCTCCAGATTATATCTTACGCATTTATAAGTCTACCATTCATCCATGCTTTGAATATTGCTGCAACATATGGTCTGTTTTTCCTGCTATATATATTTAGAGATTATTGATAATATCCAAAGAATCTGCAATGTCATTGGTTTTGACCTGGCATCTCGGCTTCAGTCACCCCCCCTACTCCAGCTAATGTAGCTTTCCTGTGCTTTTTCTATAAATACTTTTATAGTAATTATCCTGATGAACTTTACACTACGGTATCTGGACTTGATGAATTTAAACGCAGTACGAGAGGCCTCATAATTTTACAGTTGAATTGGCTAGATGTAACCGTAAGTTCTATGCTGACAGTTTCTTTTCTCTCACTTTTCGGCGGTAGAACTCTCTTCCTGTATCTTGCTTTTTAACCAACTTTTTTTTCTTGTTCTCGCGATTTAAATACAATGTCAATCGTTATCTACTACCTTCTTGATTCTTCCTCTTTTACTGTTCCCACTCTTTAATAACGTTTCTCTTTTTCTTTCACGCTCGGTAACACCTTGCGTTTTAGTTGATTTGCTTGAATGAATATATATATATATATATATATATATATATATATATATATATATATATATATATATATATATATATATATACATGGTGTCCATAAAGTTCGTGTGCACTTGAAAAAATTTATAACTTTATTTGTATTTGCGATAGAATTAATCTGTAAAAAATGTTATAAAGTCTAAAGTACCTAGTTTTAAGTATCGCTAAAATAACTAATGTGATTTCAGGCATTACTGTAAATCATTTGGCAAATGTTTTCCGTGAACTGCAAAATTCGTATTACCCTTTGTATGCTAATGATGGAGGACATTGTGAAACTTAAATAAAATTTCAATAAAACATTAAAAAATATAGATTTACTTCTTTCTAATCCTTTTTACAAATTATTTTATATAATATATATATATATATATATATATATATATATATATATATATATACACCTCGTCAGCCGTATTCCGAAGCAGTTGTTTTATGGGGAAATGCCGCCAAACCTAAGATGTGCTTTAAGGACTGCATCAAGGATGCGCTGAAGAAATTCAACTTTCCTTGTGAGCACTGGTGTAACAGAGAGAGGTATACACACACGCCCACATGAATGCACACACGCAAATATAACTTTTATTGACTGGAAGTGGAAATGGTATTTATATATTAAAGTACAATTTGGGTTAAGATGTGTGTTTACCGATGAGAAACACGATCTCAGGACAGGAGGCGATGTTTTAAATCTGGGTCACTAGTAAACAATGGGGATGGGCGAGATACTTGATTTTGTTTAACAGTATTTGTTTTGATCAAAAGGTTGAATCAATGTTTAGATATCCCAAAGTATAATTTTGGTGAAGCAAGAAGAACTCGTGATTGAGATAAGGTAAATAATTGGAGAATAGGTTTACATGTCAAGGGATAGTTTTTGGCACTCATGATAATCGCTTGCCGGGCCCAGGGTCGATTCATTATCAACCAGATTTATCTATATAAACGCATAGTTATGCTGAAGAAGAAGCAGACGGTCGAACGAGACGGAAGTGGCCAGACGGGAGAGACCGTGATCGGTCGGCACATCGTCGTCACGCGCGTGAGCACCCGCAGGCGATCGTTACGGGTCACGGTGCTACAAGCCAGACGGAAGAGAGAAGACTAACCCCTGTTCTGAGAAGTCTGTATGAGACTGGACTATTAGTCATAAACCTACCCCAGGCGATTCAATACGCGTTTATCACACACAAACCCTCTCTCTGTTGGGAATTGTTTTTTTTACTTTTCTCATTTATGTTAAATGTTTTTATTCTACCTGTAACCTCTGTTATGATGTTATCTTCTTATATAAAAGACGTCAATATTTCCCTCCATTGTTGTCTGGCTTCTGCAGATATTATTTCTTGTTTTATTTTGCCAAATCTAAACTTCCTACCGCCAACTCACACAGCCGTGTCCACATCCCCAGTCGACCGTGAACGTATCTAAAAACTAACACAGCGTGGGCAGCGAGCAGGACTTGACCAGTTGACTGGTCGAAATAATCTACGGGTACTCAGGGAGCGTACGGCCAGTTACGCATAAGTTCGGTTCGGACCGAGTGGACACCTCAACCCAAAGAGGAAGACGCCGGAGGTTGATGGACTGGGGACGAAGTGGGAGACTGGCAAGAATGCGCATCTGATCGTAATAATTGGAATGAGGTTGCTCGGAGTGGAAGATGTCACTTTTCAGGAGGAAAAGAGGAGGCACGCAAGGCTTAAAATAAATGTGCGTAAAGCCCCCCCCCCCCATTGAACTTCCTGAAGACATCCGCAGGTAACTCGATCTGACGTGTACAGATTGTGGTAAAGTGTTTGTCGATGGATGGTCTAAGGAGTCACTTGAGAGCGCACCGACTGAAGGTGATGATTGACTATAAAGCCGTAGACGTCCAGCAACTGAAATGTGATATTTGCGTTAAGACATGCGGGTTCAGAAGCGGTCTCATGCGACGTTTTAAATTGCATGATAATGTAACACTCGCTGTTGCACCTCTTAAGTGCCCTCTTTGTGCCAGAACATGTAGGTCCCTTGCTGGGTTAAAGATACACATTCATTCAGCACATCAGTAGATATTCTCCAGAAAGATATGTAGTAATGGCCGTATTCGTACACGAGTTACAAACCACCATACATATATATATATATATATATATATATATATATATAATGGCAACAGTAAAAAAATTTATTCTGAAGAAGTTCTAAGGGATGAAACGCAAATAGTTAACTATTACCAGCAATACTTTTTTTTGAAAAAAATTATTACCAGCAATACAATTTTGAAGGAAAAATATTACCAGAAACAAATTTTTGACAAAACAAGATATTACCAGCAATAAAAAATGTTGTCAGCATTAAATAACTCATTGAGGTTGATATGCCATAAAACAAAATAAACCAAACCAATCTAAACCAAAGAATACATATTCTATTCATATGAATCTATCCTAAAAATGTTGTCGGCATTAAATAACTCATTGAGGTTGATATGCCGTAAAACAAAATAAACCAAACCAATCTAAACCAAAGAATACATATTCTATTCATACGAATCTATCCTAAAAATGTTGTCGGCATTGACTAACCCATTGATGTTGATATACCGTAAAACAAAATAAACCAAACCAATCTAAACCAAAGAATATATATTCTATTCATACGAATGTATCCTAAAAATGTCGGCATTAAATAACCCATTGAGGTTGATATGCCGTAAAACAAAATAAACCAAACCAAACCAAACCATCGTCCTAGACAATTATTCACAGAAGCATGCAATTAGCATGCACTTTTGACGCGGCAATGGGGACCACTGTCTCCCCGGCTTCTACATTCAAACTCAGGAAGTCACTTGAAGAGTAAAAGTGATAAGGCCAGAAAATACAATCCTGTGAGTAATTGAAGATTTTGAAGAGTGGCGGAAGGAAGTCTTGAATGATCAAAGAAACTTTCTTTTTATTTACGCTTTTTTTTTAATTTACAAAAAGGAAGTCATTACATATTTTTATTTGTTCGGTTTTTCAAATTGGTGCTTGTTGAACTCTAACAATTGAAAAAACACAATTCTATCTCTTATATATAATTGTGTGTGTGTGTGTGTGGCACGATGGAATAATGGATAGCGGCCCGGATTGAGAAATCAGAGAGTCGAGTTCGAATTCCAGTCGAATCTATTACATTCTTGGGAAAGATATGAATCCTCTTCCTAGTGGATTATAGCGTTGGTTCGTGAGTTTAGTGCCATAGTAATTGTGAGTTCAATTCTTGCGCTGGGTAGTGGAACTCTGTGGAAACGGGCACAGCAATAACTGAAAAAAAAAAGAAGCTATGTGCAATGCGTGATACACGCTTAGGCGAACATGTATCGCCCGATACATGACTGAGGCAGATTTTCTTCCCGCAGTAGGTTGCCATTACTTTCTGCAGTAGACCAGTTGCCATCCAAGGCTATAGAACCCGGTCTGTCCTGCTATTTACCCATAGCTAGTGGGAGAAGAGGATTCATATCTTTCCCAAGGGTATTAGGACGTAAGTGAATGCAATGGAATCGACTGGAATTCGAACTCGGCTCTCCAATTCCTCAATCCGAGCCGCTATCCATTACTCCACCGTGTGAACAGAACGAAAATGATAAGTGTGCTGCAAAAGTAGGTATACAGTGTTATACTTGTATTTTAACAGTGGTTCTAGGATTCATTTAACACTAGAATTCAATAAAACCATCTATTTTGTAAATAAATAAACGGCAAATTCTGTCAGTCCGTCCATGTGTTTGAAACCGCCTCTAACTCTGGCCACATTTGCTCTACATAGACATATTATACCTTTCAGTGATCAGAATGATCCCAGGATTGGAAATCTGCCCTTCATCTGGTGCTTAAACATCCAGCATTTGGGATTGCTGTCCAGGTGAGGAGGAAACACTTAAAATTCAAATTTTAAAATAACTGGAAAAAAAAGTTATTTAAAAGTATTTAATTAATATTGAGTTTAAAGTAACATAAAAACTTTGAATTTAAAGTTTTCTTTTAAGTTTAGCTTAAAATATCTTCGAAACTTTGTGGATTAAGGGAATCGATTTTATTTCTTCAAAATGCCAAGAAATCAGAGTTAAACTGGGAGGTTTCCTGACATAAAGTTTTAAAGTTCCGCAGAGTTTGTGATTTGAAGAACTCAACACAATTGAAATTCCACTCAATTTTCAGCTCGAATTGGGACTTCGTCCTAAATCGAAGTTTCGGCCGGAAGTGGACTCATAGGTCAAATCAGGGTTAAAGTGAGGTTTTGAAGTTAGATGGAGTGAAGTGAGGAATTCAAAATTATTTCTTCAAAATCATCGTTGTTGTTTTCTAAGCTCGATCAGTACTGGATGAGAGGGAGTAGTGAACGTGTGTAATCAATACAATGCGTTTTCCTTTTCATTAGTGTATACCTACTTTTGCATACCCCTGTATATGTGATATCCCTATACATGAGACTTAGGACCGTATCACCTTGCAACATCGGTTCTCGTGCGATCACCGAAGTTAAGCAACTTTCAAGAGAGAAATTGTCATAATACTTTTCTTTTTAACTAGAATTTAATTTTCAGTTTCAAACTGTTAGTCTCCTTGAATTCAAGGTAGACACCTTGTCTCCCGTCTACTTTGCTTATCTCTAAAATATATTTACAGAGAGAGACAGAAGACGTTTGATCACCTGATTTACTTCTGAACTTTGGCACAGAAACAAGAAATAGATTACCAACAGGTGCTTTGTTCTTTCTGGCATCTTTTGTGGGCCTCACAGGCGATCTTCAATGCTGATAAAGACATCCAGGTTGGGCCACAAATAGTTACCTGCTGTTCCAAATCGTCGAAATGTTTTTAAGCGGGCTGAGATTAAAAAAAAAAAAAGAACCCTCACTAAGGTGAAGAGAGGGGCTGCTTTATCTTCGTGATATTTATTTTCTCATCTAAACGATCTGAATGTTGAAAAGACAGGGGCTTTCAGCTCTGAACTCTCTGCTCTGAGAATATGAAAAGGATAATAGCAATATTAGCCGTTCCCATATAAGGACACATTCGGCATTCGTTGACCGAGCAGTCAGTGCTGCTGTTGGTTGAAATTTATAAAATATTTCACTTAATTTTTTTTTTTCAGGAAAGTAGGTTTCTCAAGACCAGTAACTGTTATCGCTCTTTCCAGTATTGATGGGGGTTTCCTTGCTAACCTTTTGTTTGAAGAAGAGTTGAACGTCAGCATCTTGATTATACCATTATTTTCTCTCGAGTTACATGTGATTACTTGAGAAAATGCCACGTTGGATGGCTAACAGAGAGTAGGAAAGTTTTTTTCAAAATAAGAATCTTCTCTTTGTGTCGTGTCCCTTCAGGACGTAGGCGATCATGGCTCTCCACAGCTTTCTGTCCTTTTGTAATTTTGCATTTTTGTTTTTTCAACCAAAACCCTGTTTTACCATCCAGTTATGAGAACCAGGTTCAAATCTCATCATGGTAGGTTTTTTGGAAGGTAGATAGAAATAAGTAAATATACTGTCTGATAAATATGGGTATCCACTAAAAATAAAGTGTAAACTTTATATATATATATATATATATATAGTGATTTTCCAAGCGTAGCTTAGATGTGGCACAAGACAGTCGTAATTGTTCTAGCGAGATAAGCTTACTAACCATTACACCACCCCTAGGCGCCCAAACTTTATATATATATATATATATATATATATATATATATATATATATATATAATATGAGATAACTAGATATTAGCGACCGTATACGTGCTTGCTGGCGTGCATACGTTGGTAAGCAAATTAATAATTACCAAATTTAGCCAAGAGGTATAGGCATAATAGTGCTCGATGTGATTAGACAGAGATAAGAAATATACATTAATAAATACACATATACCTATGCTTGGTGTGCGACTCGAGTTTCTTTGGTTACCCAACTCGTCGGACACAAGATATAGCTTATTGTATATATATATATATATATATGTGTGTGTGTGTGTGCGTATATATATATATATATATATATATATATATATATATATATATATATATATATATATATATATATATATAATAATATAAAGAAACCTCCACCAAAATTAAATAGATATGAAGTTGTGAGAATCTACGCACATAAAGTTAATTGTGTGTGTGTGTTAATTAAATCTTACTTTAAGTTTGTATCCATTCAGCAGGGATATCGTAGCATTACTAATTTTGAATAAAAATGTCTCTGTTTTGTCAGCGATTGTTTAGTTAATTGCATATGTTCTAATAATGTACCCGCTATGATTTGAATCTGTCTAATTAGTTCATTTTACCAAATGTTAATTTATATAGATATTTAAAGGTTTTCTTTATAAAAAAAAAACCAAAAAAACAATTTAACTTATAATAGGAATAAATGAAATATCATGTGACGAGACCTATTTTAAAATTTTTATGCAAATGAAGCTGTCCTAATGTCAAAAATGGCTGATTTTAACAGATGGTTCCTTGTTTTTTCCTTGACAAATGCATATTGTCCTAAATTGATAATCTGAAAATAAAGACCTTGATTATGTAATTAATTAAAAGAACAAAAAAACAACAACATACAGATGTGGAAGTAAGAATTCCTTTCAAAGACACAATACAATGGTGCCTGAATGAGGCTTTGAAAAATATTCTGTCGAGGCATAAATTATTTCTATTTTTGTTTATCAAAGTTATTCTTAAATAAAAATATGAAGTACAACTTATCTGCAGCGACTTGTCGCTTATCAGGCGTTTCTTTTGCGTAAAATTCGGCAGTTTTTGAAGTGAAAAATTTCCAACACTTGAATCTGGTTTTCCTTAGAGAAAATCTTCTCCATCAAAGCGTTTTGCAGCGATCGAAAAAAAGAGGTAACAGTCTGTTGGTGCAAGGCCAGGTGAATATGAGCGAAGGGGGTAGAACAGACTAACCGAGTTCCAAACTATTTTCCTGTGTTATTCATGTTGTGTACGATATTGCATTGTCATGGAGGAAAACATCATTTTCTTTTAATCCACGGTGTACGCTGCCACTGCCGTGCAAAATTTAACGTATGTTAGTTTACTCAAAATTTATTCTTAACTACCACGTATGATTAGTGTTTAGAATGATACATTGGTCCTTAAAATTGATTCCCCAAAACTTAGAATTCAAAACAATATTTTTATTAGTAATTTACTCACACGAGGATAGAAATAATTTTGCAATTGCTTTGGTTATATTAGAGTCCTGAATAAGCGAAGAGTTTTATCTATAGAATTCTATAATACTAAAATTGACTAAATACAAGCCTTAAGAGTCACTCACGCTAGAGGGTTATTATTAAATAGTTACGATGATAAAAACTGCATTTCTCATTAAACTAGTGGTTCTCAACCTTTTTTGCCTAATGCATCCTTTTCACCATATGTCCAAATATCATTCCCCCCCTTTCCAAGATTGTTGGACTCAAAAAGCGCATTCCAAATTACATGCATATATTGAAAATCTTCATTCTTTTCCATATTACTACATCTATATTTACATGGATTATTTTTATAGAGGAGTTATACAAATTTAATAGCAATAGAATATGTTGATGAATTTTTAAACTTGAATACATGTACAATAATTTGTTTTAATTCATAACTAATTATTAAATACATAAAGTGAAGCAGATTTCAAGAAACGAAAAGTTCAATATAATCCCAGGCTGTTGTAATTCAATAAACAAAAAAAGTCAGGGTATTTAAAAATCTATTTTATTTTGATGAAGATTGCAGCCAATGAGAAACTTGTGAAAAACCCTAAAAACTCACTGGGGTAGAATTTCCCCACCCGGTTGACAACCCCTTATTTTTGTTGATTCACATGTTTGAGTAGGCACCTTGTTTTTATTTATCTATATTTTTTTTGTGTGTTTTAACATTCTGAATTGTGTCTACCGGCCTACACATTCAAAAGACTTAATTAAAAAAAGAAATGTGATCTCCGGCAGAGTTTGTACCAGCATTTTCCTGGTCCGGTGTGCTGATATCCTTTATTAAATGTCTCGAATGCGCAGGTTGGTAGACGTAATTCACATCATTTAAAATGAAAAACAAAACAGGGCGTCTATTCAAACACGTGTATCCACAAAAATAACATTAAGCATAAGAAATAATGTCAGATTAAAAATAAAATCCATTATTTCGTTTAGAAATTACATTCGTCATTACAATTGGTTCACAAAAACGGAGATTCCTTATGGCTCAATCTAATACAAAGATTTAAAAAAGAAACTGCTTTTCATATACATTACATTAGCGTACACCTGGCCACATTGTCAGTTGTGTTTCCAGGAATCAATGAGTGTTTCGGGTCTTTCAACAATCAGAAACCCTCCCCCAGGTGAAATGTGAAAGAAATAGCGAGCAAGGTCATGTATTTCTTATCAAGGTTGAATGTTGCACTTTCATATATTTTGATGTTTCACAGCTGAAACGTGCCTGGCCTCGGGGTCATTATCTGATAAAAAAAAAAAAAAGAAAAGATATATATATGCTTCAAGTAAGATTACAAATCTGTTTCAGCAAAGTGTATAAATGTAACATTGCCTACATTAGACGTTAGATAGATATTCACAAACCTGAGAGCTTAGTCTGACACAGTTATTTTGGGCAAAAGAGCTTGTTTAATTACCGCTCGACGATTGGGGAGGTTTGACATAAAATGGAGCTCTGTATGTGCAGATGCGAGTGTCGTCATAAACTTTCCCATTCCTTCGACACTTTCCCTCTTTGGGAGCCTCAGTCGTCAGGGATTGAAACCTATCCACCAGGTCTTTAGATGCGATAATGTAAGCGCGGTTTAGAGGGATGCAACGGAACTGTCTTGTGTCTTCTTTCTTTTATGTGC